AGCCAGACAGTGCCGGCTGGCGACCTCCAGGGGGAGGGCCTTCTCGGTGGGAGCTCCCACCCTCTGGAACGAACTACCCCCAGAGATCCGGGTGATCCCGGATCTCCCCTCCTTCCGCCGCGCCCTAAAGACATGGCTCTTCCAACAAGCGGGATTGGCCTAGGGAATTTTTAGTGGGGTTTTAAGAGAAATTTTAATTGACATGGGCCACAGTAAATATTTCTTTTTAAATTAGGTTTTAAACTGGGTATTTTATTGTTGTATCTGTTTTATAAGGCTGTCAGCCGCCCTGAGTCCGTAAGGAGAAGGGCGGGATAAAAATTAAATAAATAAATAAATAAAAATGAGGCTAGACACAGAAGAGAGCATCCATAGGAGGAGGGCTTTGATCACAGAGTTTATTTTTTATGTCCCCCTGTGGACATCTCTCACACCATATAGTCTAAAGCAGGGGTCTTCAAACTTGGCCCTTTTATGACTTGTGAACTTCAACTCCCAGAATTCCTCAGCCAGCATGCCTGGCTGAGGAATTCTGGGAGTTGAAGTCCACAAGTCATAAAAGGGCCCAAGTTTGAAGACCCCTGGTCTAAAGACTGCAGATTATTCCTCCCTGATTTAGAAAATGATTTTACAATGTTTGGATTCAAACTGTTGCCACATGTACTTAACCAAGGAGCTTGCTGACTGTGTGATGCCCGTGGGCCTATTTCTCAATATGTATATGATTCTTGTTTCTTTGGTTTTCCAAGAATCCTTTTTACAATTTCTCCCAAGTGGAAATTGTTCCACAGTTTGATTACGATGGATTTTTATTAACAGGTTTGGTGAAATGAAAAAAAAAGTAATTTGAGACCTGTCACATCAGTTCAGAAATACTGAATAAAGATCACTTTTTATCAGAAAAATCACGAGTGAGTAATTTATAGCTCTAATGCTTCTTGCTATTCCAACAATTAGTTCAGTGATTTTTCTTTCCAAGTAACTTGAGATTGGCATCCCTGATTAATCTTTCATCTTGGTAAAATAGAGAAAAAGATTTGGCTACAACTTTGTCATTGCCATTTGATTTCAGGTTAATAATCAAAAAGAAAAAAGGCTGTATCTTACCTTTTCTGCATCTTGTTCAAAAAGTCGAAGTTGAAAACACTGATCTAGTTTCAGTTTACGGACATGCCACATCTGATGCAAGTGCTGTCGTGTTGAATGCAGCTTATCTAGAAGACTGGTAATCTTTGGCACAAGACTTTGGAAATCTGCACTGCCAGGAATGCAGTTCCTACCAGAGAAACCATCACTGCATCTTATGCATTGTAATAATCGTTGACCCTCACGGTCCAATTCTTCCACTGGAGCTTTGATTACTTTCTTCTTGAGCTGAGTATGTTCGTCTATTAGTCTTCTTGAACCCTCCACATCCACTGGAAATTCCTTCCTAGCCAGCATTTCCTGAAGGTCCTCCAGCCTGGATAATAAATGTATGGCACTATTGAAAAATTCTTCCAAGGAAACTCTCAATTCTATCCATTCATCATGATTGTAATCCAGAGTTCCTTCAAACTCTTCTGTTAGTTGGGAGGGATCAACCAGTTTTGTTAAACCTTCAACGGAGACCATGCTTGTCTAAGGAGTTAAAAAAAAATGTGTGGTTTAGTTTTTAAGTAATTATACAGAAATCCTGTAACAATTAAGGATAACAATTCATCAGACAGCATAAATGGAGAAGCAGTAAGCAGGAAAAATGCTTAACAGCCAGATAAGAATACATCCTAGTGCAATATGGCTGTGAATTGTCTTTGTCTTGGCTCTCACAACCACAGGGGAAAAGAAATGGACATTGTGAGAAAGAGAACTCACGATGATTGTGGTGGCATCATCAGTGTTACTAGAAATCAGCAAGAAATGAAGCATTGCCTCTGTCCTGCATAAACTCCTTTGGGATGGATCCTATGTCCATAACTAATATTATGAAAGTACATTTCACCTCTCCTTCAACATACACATTCAGGATGCCTTCACAATGGGTGATAATTTGGAAAACTGCATAATTTGCCCACTTTTAAGTTTTCACACAATACAGCCCTTTTAGCAACATTCACACATTAGGTACTACTTGTTATGAAAGCGCTCTCTCTCTCTCTCTCTCTCTCTCTCTCTCTCTCTCTCTCTCTCTCTCTCTCTCTCTCTCTCTCTCTGTGTGTGTGTGTGTGTGTGTGTGTGTGTATTTACAGCAGGAATGTTCAACCTGAAGGCTTAAAACTTCATATAGCTGCCTAAACTTTGGATACAGCCCAAAGAGTCTCTCCAAAGATTGTCACCAATTGTAATTTTAATTGACAAAAAGGAAAATGATTGCTATATGTACAATAACACATTCATTGTGCTTAATTAAATACTGTAAATTAATTTAAGTCCCTACCCCATATATAGACACTTTTCAAAATACAGCCCTCGGCATGCCACTTAAAGCAAACAATGGTTCTTGTCCTCCAAAAATGATGTTTTAGAGCAGACATGTCACATGACATCACGTGATGTTGCACAACGTATCGGGACGGGTTTGCCATTGCCAGCAATGGGGTGGGCGCGGCTTCCAGATGACGTACGCGGCCCACAGGCCGGCAGTTTGACACCCCTGTTTTAGAGGATATATTTAGATATTATCCATCCCCCTTTCAGTCAAGCTGTTTTAGCTTGAATAAGTATTAAGACTGCTCTGGCTGTCTTGGAGGATGACTCATGCTGCAAAGTAGATGCAACTTAGGACTCCTGTTTTACAGTTCTTACTGTCATGCTGTGTCCAGAAAGTATCCTTGTTTCCTACAAGATTGCATTTTTGCCATCCATGCTGTTTAATATCTACAGTATATGAAACTGAAATTGGGGGAAATCATTAAAAACTTTGACCCTTCCAATCATATTGCACCTTATTATCCAACTTCAAAGGGCAATCACTGTCTTGAACATTGCTTATATTTGACAAAGTCCTGGTTGAGGAAGAATGCACTGAGATTAAATCTAGACCAAAACAATTCGTTTTTGATAAATAAGAAATTAGACTTTGAGACGGACATTTAGACTGTTTTGGTTAGTTTGCAAAGTTTGAAAGGAATGGTTTGCAGTTTAAAAATACTCCTTCACCTTCATTTGTCATTGAATTTATGATGGCTGTGACATGGTGCACATTGATGCAGTTAGGACTGCTAGATCGATTACAGTATTACATCATCCATTTTTGAGATGGTCAGATTTGGCAACAGTTATGCATGCCTTGATTATATTTCATCTTGAACTTTGCAGTGCACTCTACACAATGTGATCTATGCTGGGCAACCCTTGAAGAGTTTGCAGAAATTGGAACTAATACAAAATGTGTCAGCTAGAATGCTATACAGGATAAAATATAGGAATTATATGATGCCTCCACTGAAATAATTGCACTTACAGCCAGTGATTTAGTGGGTACAATTTAGGGTGCTACTATCATCCCTTAAGGCCTTGAAGAGTTTAGGATTTCACAATATCAGGAACCATCTGTTTTATACAGTCCCATCCAACTTTTAAAATTTACACAAGAGGTCTTTTTAAATGTGACCCCATTTTTGGAGATCTGTCTTTCTGGCACTTATTTATTTACTTAAAACACTTAATAACTATCCACCTTCTAACAAACTCTGGGCAAATCCCTATCAAAACTTTAAAACCATTTTAAAACTATTAAAACCAAATACATAAACATTTTGAAATAAGACCTTCTCCTGTATTTCTTCCAAACAAGGGAATATATTATCTGAGTTTGTGTGACTCCACCTCTCTCCAAGTTTTGAAATTCTGTAAGATCCAAAACTTTAACAAAACTCTCAATATTTTGGTAATGTTATATTTGTTAGAGCAGGAAGGTTGGATGGTATTATTATTGTTATTATTTCTTCAAATAATATTGTAGATTTTATTGTGAAAATTACCTTGAGATTGAAAAATATGATTTGGTCAAGATATCCCACTATGCTGGAATCTGAAGACAAAATTTCCAAATTCAATACCAATATTATAGTTAGCATCAAGCTGAGATTTTGTGAAAAAGGATGCTGTATTAATGGGCTGCTTTTCAAGTACTACCTTTCGCTATTAATTTTGAAGAGTACTTAATAATAAT